GGAGCCTGGGTAGATTATTCCAGTGGCCTACACCATTCTTCTTTCTCATTAACAATATATTTTGGTAATATTCCATGCCAGTAGCAAGAGATTAACGGTACTTTTTTGGATTTAAAAAATGCTGCATAAAATTCATTGTAAAGATACATAATCCAATTTAACCTGTTCAGCAGGATATATTATTTGTTTCTAATTTTACTATTTTAAACAATTCTGAATGGTATATTCCGAATGAAAGACCAACACCGAACCCCATACATTTGTTATTGCATTGTGGTTAACAAGTCACGCATGTACTATCCGTGTTCCTAGGAACTGCTGTACTGAGGCTCCTGCACATCTGTGAAGTGTGGGAGCTGTGGGTGAAAAGAGTAAATCCTTCCAGTTGCATGTGTGTGTCACTTAACCAAGGAATCCTGGGGAAGTAAAAGTTGTCAAAATAAAATATCAACTGTAGTGGAAGAACGTCTCTGTCGTTTTCTGTAATGAAAAATCTGGTAACATCTGTGCACTCAGATTCAGAGTTATTGGGTTAGACTCTAGTCCTTAATACCAGAAAGGGTGAACTTAATACCTATTTGTATATATGGAGGAAAAACATAGACAGTGAGACGGGTAACTGACTTTTTTTCATTTTCATTTTGAGTCTCTTTGCCTTTGAGATAACTGCTTATTACCAAAGGATTTTGGCAAATTTTTCTCTCATTTGTAAAACAGCATATAAAGAATCCTTTCTTTCTGATGATTAACTGTGGCCTGTTTCTTGGCCCCACTCCAGGTGAACATGATGTCACAGAAGAAAATCCATCTCTGGTGAATTGAGAAGTGCGCTGACCTGGTGAATGTATGTGGGTTCTGGTTGATGGTGCCATTTTGGTAACATCTCCTGGTGCACCTGGGAAACCATAGGTCATCATGATGGTGAATTTTATATTTCAAGTTGCCTGTACCTGTGGGTGCCCAGATTAACATTATTTTTGGGTGTGTCTGTGAGGGTGTTTCCATAGGACTAGCAGTTGAATTGGTTGATTAAGTAAAGTAGGTTGCATTGCCAGTGTGGATGGGGCTCATCCAATCTGTTGAGGGCCAGATTAGAATGAAAAGTGGAGAAAGGAGGAATTCACCATTTTTCTTGCCTCACTTCCAAAGTTAGGACATCTTGTGTCATCGTTCCCACACTTGGGTTGACATCTATGTCATCAGCTCCCATGTTTTTCAGGCATTAGGACTTGAACCGAATTATACCACGGGCTTTTCTGGGTCTGCCAGCTTGCAGAAAGCAGACTGTGGGACTTCACTGACTGCATAACTGGCTGAGCCAATTTCTCATGATAAATCCTTCTGTATCTATATTTCTGTCTGTCTCTTTCTACATACATCTGCTATGTTTCTCTTGACGATCCTGACTAATAGAGTCATATTTTCTAAATCAGTGGGGATGTGTGATAAGCATGTAACATACTCAGTTTCCCAGATATTCATTTGGGTAACCTGGCTGGCCCTATATGCTAAATTCTCTCACATCACCCAGTTTTACATCCATGTTATCTTTCAAACAATGAAAATGTTGAAGTAGTCAATTGATCTTCTTTTGAAATCATTGTAGATCAGACGTGAGACAAAAGTGACAAGTCTGTCATAATTCTACATGCATATTAATATAGAAAAACATTTATTAACCAAAATCAAGTTCTAGTTCAGAAACAAGGCTATTTTTCATAGGTAATAGGAAATAGGAATGTGGACAGAATTTCTATGCTCCTATCCCTACTAATTGCCTCACTTCCTTAAGTAATCAGAGTGGAAACACAGCTCATAAAATGTGAGTATCAGCTGGGCTCAGTGGTGTGTATTTATAGACCCAACTACTGGGATGTTTAAGGCAAAAACATTGCTTGAGCCCACAACCTCAAGTCCCCTGGGCCGCATAGGGAGACCTCATCTCTGAAAATGAACTAAGAGGCTGGGTGCGATGGCTCAAGTCTGTAATCCTGTCAATTTCGGAGGCTGAGTAGGGCGGATCACCTGAGGTCAGGAGTTTGAGACCAGCCTGGCCAACATGGTGAAACCCCGTCTCTACTAATAATACAAAAATTAGCTGGGCTTGGCAATGCATGCCTGTAGTCCCAGCTACTTGGGAGGCGGAGGCAGGAGAATCACTTTAACCTGGGAGATGGAGTCTGCAGTGAGCTGAAATTACACCACTGCACTCCAGCCTGGGAAAATAAATAAATAAATAGATAAACAAATAAATAAATATGAACCAAGACAGAAACAAAAAGTCATTATCAGGCAAAACTGATTACAATGTTTAGCCTAAACCTCTCTCCTCTTCTGTCTTCTGCCCTGAAAATGGGGCCCTCTTTCCCTTTTGGAAAGTCAATTCATGGATATCTTGAAAGACAAAGCCTGTTGTTTTTTCATTACAATTGCTTGATCTACTCTGATATCCTTGAACATTGCAGGCTACTCTGCTGGTGGGGTCTCATATTCATGAATCCCAAGTGTAGTCATAATCTCTGCAGGAGTGTCTTTCCAAGGTTGATGATTTGTTTCCTTGACCTTCCATTCAACCCCCACCTAAAGACATCTGCCCTGATATGGTCCCAATTATTAAAAAGTAAAACACAGTGAAAACAATAGCATTGTGAATTAACCTTCCTTCTGTGCTGGACTTTACAGAATGTGTTAGAGCTGGTAGCTGAAAAAAACTAGGGTTTGTTTCCCTGGCGAGTAACAAAGACTCTCTATGAGAACGTACGTTTTGATAAATAAAAGTTTTGTGACTTGGTTCAAGTAAGAAGGTCACTGGGAGGATTCTCCAAAGCAGCGTCTTCCTGAGGGAAAGTGACAAGAACATTCTATGGGGTGATGGAGAGGGCAGAGAGAGGGTGTATCATCACATATAGAGGAGGAGTCCCAGTTGCCCAGACACAGTGAGTGATTCTGCCAGCACATAGTTCACATGTTATGGTAATGAGGCTCCTGACTGAGTGGAGACTTATAGCACGGTAATGAGGAAAGTTCATGCCGGTTTGTCTGTAAGTTGCTGGGTTATGCCAGGAGCTGGTTCCCACCAGCAAGCTTGTATAACAGGCTGGTTGCTCAAGTTGGTTAAATTCTTACAATCCCCGGAGACCCTCCCTGCCGGCTTACAGAACAATTAACTGCATTTACTCCTGCAAGACTTTCTGGAGATTTGATATTAAGAGAATTTTATAAAATCAGACATGGGAGGTTCAAGGAAGAGAAGTGGACTCTTAGGGTCACGTCTTTGGAACATGCTGATGTGACCACTTAACTTCTCTAATGGTAGTCTCTGTGGTGCTGGCCTTGGACTCAGGGCAATGAGAAAATCTTGGATGTCTACTACAGAAGGGGTAGTGAGTCCAGTCAGGGTTTCCTGACGGTCAAGCATAGAATGCTCCTTGCTCTTGTTTGAACTGTCTCAGTCCTTGGGAGAGGGGAGCTGCCTCTGACCTCAGCCCAGTCCTCAGCATGGGGACGGCAGGAAGATGATGTAAAAGGCACGGAGGGGCTGGAGAGAGGCCATGGCAACAGGAAGGGGAATAACATGGGGTTGCACCATGAGAGGATGATGGTGCGATTCACTGAGATTGGAAGACTCTTGTTTCCCTCTCCCTCAACCTGTGGTCCTTCACTGGGGCCTTGCTTCCACTCTTGTCTCCCAAATAGTTGAGTTCTGCACAGCAGCTGGGCTGATCTTTAGGCAGCATTATTCTTGTATGTAACACGCTTGATTTGTTCCCCATGAGGAACGTACTTTATTCTTCCGTCTTCACAGGCATGAAGGGTCTGAACCTCATTAACTCCTATCATTAATACTCCTGGCTATGACGATCTTATCCCGACCAAACACCTTTTGTGCTTCTAACACGCCGAAACTCTATCCATTCAGGACTATTTTTTAAAACTAAAAATGTTTTATTACATTAAGTAATAATTGTATAAAAAGATGCAAGTAATTGTAGCCATTCTCTTTCAGATGTTTTAATCAACTTCTTGTAAACACAGAACCAAAAGTCTACTTACAGCCTTGATATTTGTCAGGACTTTTGAACTGTCTTTCCCCTTGCTGGGATGATTCTCCACCTGGTGTCTGTATGACTGGCTGCTTTTCCTCCTGTTCCGATTTCATTCTCTGAGATGGGTCTTTCCTGGTGACACTCTGCCCTGTGATGTCTGTGGCACATACAGAACCTCTATATCGTGCTGCTCTGTGTAATTTTCTGTGTACGATGCTGTGTAATTTTCCTCCTGACACTTAGCAAAATTTTGCATGCTTAGAACAATTTTGTATGTTTATTTTTATCCTTGTATAATGTGGCCCCAAAAGAGCAGTGACCTGTCTTGGTCTGTGTTGCATCAACACTCCCTCAAACTGTGCCTGGAGCAAGGTATCTACTCAGTAAATGTCTGCTGGATGAATGAATGAGCAAAGGAATGGATGACAGGAGAGGGGATGAAGTCACAAGGTGGAGAGGGCATGGGTCATGTGGGGACTGATCCCTGTGTCCTGTGGTTTTAGATATGAGGCATCCCTGACTGAGAAGACACTTGTGATCTGGTACCTGAAACAAAGAAGGTCCACTCCATCTTTCTTCACAGGAGGCGTGGCTCCAGCTTTCAGTGTCCCACCTTCTCCTTCGGCTGCTTTGAGGGTTGGGAAGACTGCACTCACTTCCTGACATGCCTATTTTACCAAGAGGCAGTGGATTCTGTTGAGCACTGAGATTTCCCAAACCCAGTGTCCCTGTGCAAACTTTTAAGTTCACAGCCCCACCTTGGAGAAGCAAGATCTCAATGGCTTCTCCCGAGGAGAGACTTCAATACAGCTGCTGTCTGGTGCCAATGAGAGTCACTATTACTGACATGGAGTCATCTGAGGAATGGAAATTGCTATTTCTGAGAGTCTGGAAGAGGAGCAGAAATATAGAAGTCCGAAATCTCAGACTGAAGGACCAAGGTGCAGATCTGACGGCATTGTATCTCTGTTGTATTGTGAGTCAGGCCTTTCAAAAGGACCCACTCTGTCCCCGGCACAATCACCTGAGTGCTGCACCTGTCCACAGCTTGCAAGAAAGGGCTTCCCCTTCCTGTTTCTCATGGATTCCTGAGTGAATGAAGCCTTGTAATGGAGGCCAGGGCAAGGGCTCTCATTATCCATTTCTTCTCTCTCTGGGTCTACAAATCCCTAATTCTTGAGGCTGTGCCCTACCTGACAGGTGTTGAATGAACCCTTTGACTCACCACTGGGGACCACTATGGAGGGCAGAATGGGCAGGAGGCAACTCAGTTTCATGAGTGCTCCCACTTCCCCGTCCTCCTTATTCCCCTTCCCCTTCTCACGTGACCAGCGGCTCCCCATCTCCAGGACATGGAAGTTTTGGGAATGATGGCCACCTCTCCTCCAGGCAGTATTACAATCTGTCCCTATTGCTGTCTGAACAATTTATCTCATTGCACATTTGACTTAAACCCAGGTTCCACCTGCAGTACAATTGCTGATAGCTGGAGATTTGATGTGCTCATTTAAAAGAAGTATCTCTGAGACTAAACTTGTTTTTATCTTGGTTTCACTGTATTTATAGCATTCTTGACTCTTTCTACTTTTTTTTGTTTTCTATCATAACATTCAATTCTATCAAAATTTATCATTCATAAATCATAATGAAACATGTGCATTTTCAGCTTATTCACTGCAGCTCTTTTTTTCTTGGTATAGAAATCATGTCAAAAAAACCATAGTTGGACCATAAAGCATCAAATGGGACCTCAGTATCAAATTGGTCTCAATTCTGGAATACAGCTAAAACAAATGGAGATCTGTACACAAGTTACAGGTTGGTGTTAGGGGAGGGGCCAGTGGATGGAAAATTGCTTAGAGGAGATACCAAGGCTAGGGAGACCAATGCTAAGTTGACTCAACTGGGTTTTTTTTTAAGGCAGGCCTGGAATCAGGTATCACATGGAGGACGATGGGGGAATTAAGGAATTTGGTCAGATATTAAGTGTGAGAGATTCATGAAAAACCCATATCACTAGAGCAGAGTTTCGCTAAATGACAGCAGAGCGGCCGACGAAGACACACAGATATTTTTGGATGAATTTGCACAGCAGCTTGTTGGAGGTTCACAAGGCACTTCAGTTCAGGAAACCTGAAAGGGTATGGAGACTGAAGAGGACAGATGCTGATACCCAGGGTACATAGAGGGATGGGATCTTGGCTATGATTGAGGAGCTTGGCAGATGAGTGATGATGAGGAGTGCTGATACAGGAGCTTAGATTATTCTATCCAGGAGTACTGGAACCACTGGATACTGTGGAGGATCCCGTGGATCTCTGTTTTCACATGCAACTACATAGAAACTCTGTCCTTGTCTGTCTGCATACTCGCAGGTTGAAACATTCTGTGCACCTCTATTTATGTGTTCACACTGGAGTAAAGGCACCCGGACGCTACTACGATGACAATTTTGGAGAGTTCTGTTATGAACGCAGGGTATACTTGGGTTATGACAAACATTAACTACATTTGCAAAAGTTGTACGAAGAAAAGTATTTTGCTTTTCGCAACACCGTTGATACTGGTTAATTACCCGCATTGCAATGTTGCATGAAGGGGGGTTCATATTGATGTGCTGGATGGCAAACCACTGAGCCCTTGTAAACTCTGGGGGTCTGGCATGGAGTGAGCCCTCCACACCCATAAGCCCCAACAGAAGAAGCAGACAAATTTGGGAAGTGAACAATTTTGGAACCATGTTTCCTGTAAGAAAAGAAGAGAAGTAACTACTCCCTGATCTGGTCTCGGCTATGACACACTCTGTAGTGTGTCAACCCACAGGCCCTTCTGCTGCCACTCTGGGGTCCCATTTCCTTTTTCTTCCGGTCCCCAGAGTGTGCCACATCTCTTAAGCACTAACTTCAGCTCACCTCTCCCTGAGGTGCTGCCCCGTCACTGTCCCTCCTTTCCCAGCTCTGGGGATTGTTGACTTACCCAGTCTCTGAGCTGCAGCTCCTGTGAGAACTGATCCAGCTGGTTGTTCTGGGGTTCAGGGGTCTCCCTTGGCAGCTGGTCTCCCTTACTTGGAACTGTTTAAATAAAGCATCTCCTGGTGGGTTGGGCCAGCAGAGCCAGGAGGGAGGGTCTCACTCTTGGTCATGCAGAAACCCACAGATTGACACATGGTCCACTTGTGCAATCAGCCTTTTTATTTGATGAGTTGACTGAGTAACGGATATCCAAGGACAGCCTTGTTGCTCTTTCTGCTCTAAGGACTCTAATTCCATGTCATCCTGTGTAAGACAGAGTTTTGCTGGTTGGATCTGGACTCTGGATGAAAACTATACGCTGCCTGCAGAATGACCACAGATTTTGTAACTGTCCTCTGGCAGGCCCCTAAATGACTAAATGACATGAAGGCAGGCATTGTAGTTAGAAGAAATAGAGCCACAAAGGGCTGTTTGCCCAGGAGGAACCTAGCTTCCCTTTCATTGTTAGTAATATCCTTGGTTCTCTCTCACACAAATGCTCTCCATTTCATCCACCACGCTTTGCTGGAAACATGAGCTATTAATTTCTTGGGGTACAAGATTCTGTAGATAATTAAAACAATCTGCTCCACATATTTGAGGGAGTTTTTTCTTTTCTCCTCTTGCATTGGATCCACTTCTCTTAAGTCTTGCCCTCATTATTGCTTCCACTTTGTGTAAAGTTACACGACCTAAAAACACACTGAGGAAAGTTGTAAAATCTGGCAGACAATGTGCATTCGGGCACGAACGTTTGGTGTCATGAAAGATTCCAACCTAGCACTGGGTATTCCTGTGTTCTTTTCAGCCTATGGTACTTTCTAAAAAACAGTGTGTTCTGGGGTTGTCATTTGTCTTCCTGATAGTTTCATTTTGTGATATGAACAAGAAAATGTTTCTGTATTTACAAAATGAACATTAAAGATAGAGCACTGTATTCCTGAAAGTATAGAAGTCAAGTGCACGATTTGATACACAAAGCATCCACTTATTTTTAGTCCTCAGAGAAACACAGGAAAGTAATTGTAGACATATAATTGAACTACAATGTGATAGAGGTAATTGCACTTGTGTGAACATGGTTTCATGGGGACGCTGATGGTGAAGGAAATCACTTGGCTTGAGAAACGAGGAAGACTTCCAAAAAAAGTTTCATTTCAGCAGGGTCCTAAAGGCTAAGCAGGGGGTTTTCAGGGGCTTTAGGGAAGAGATGAGCATTCTGGGCACAGGGGATGATGTGTGGAGATTGTACAGAGGTGGGAACTGAATTGCAGGGGTAAGACCTGGGTACTAACAGATGTTAAATCTCTGGTCTTGCTTTGAGATTAGAAAATGGAAAGTAGACCCTTAAATAATACCATATACCTTCCAAGAGTTAATCTGCATAATTTTTGCTACCATCCAATTTTCCTGTCATTTAGAAATGCAGTAATTTTATCACTGGAGTCCCTAGGTAAATGTGGACACAAAGGGGACCTGGCGAGGACTCAATGTGCAGCTAATAGTGCTCTGCTTTGAAGTCCTGCTCTGGCCGACAGTCATTAGCAGCTTTATCATGAGGCGAGTTTGTTTTTTCATGTATATTGTGTGGAGATCATTTTTGTAGGTGATGAGAATGTAAAGGTGAATGATACGTAGAGTATCCCCTCTGTGATGCTGACTGTCACACTGGGTAGAGAGATTTGCACTCAAGTGTCTATAGTATGAGGGAAAAGACAGAGACCGCAGCCCCAGGGCATGTACTTGGCTAAACAGTGTTTCTTTTCAGCATACACAGTGCTTTTATAATGTTTGGTTTGGAAGATAACGTTTGACATTGGAATAGTTCACTAAAAGTTTTCATTACTGTCTTACCTTTAAAAATCGCATGATGTTGGTTGGTGCACCGTTGGTGTTGTATCAATTAGAGCTGAGTAACAGCTGCATCTGTGGAAAGTGCCCGAGCTCAGGGCTGTTCTCTGACTCCATCTTTCCCTCCATACTTTTATCCTATCTGTTCAGTGATGACAGCTGCCTGGCTCCTGGAGACATCTGTGCTTATGCATCAGACTTATTGAAGTGTCTTAAGAAATAACTCAGACCATAACCTGCCTAATTTGCAACCATATTCGTCTTTTACAATTGTGGAGTTTTTGTTTGTTTGTTTGTTTGTTTTTCTTTGAGATGGAGTTTTGCTCTGGTCACCCAGGCTGGATTGCAGTGGCGCGATCTCACTGCAACCTCCGCCTCCGCCTCCCGAGTTCAGGTGATTCTTCTGACTCAGCCTCCTGAGTAGCTGGGATTACAGGCACTCGACACAGTGCCCGCCTAATTTTTGTATTTTTGGTAGACACAGGGTTTGGCCATGTTGGCCAGGCTGCTCTCAAACTCTTGACCTCAGGTAATCTGCCCACCTCGGCTTTCCAAAGTGCTGGGATTACAGGTGTGAGCCACCACTCCCAGCCACTAAAATTGTATTCAGAACATGCTCATGAGGTTTTTCTGATTGTCCCTTGTGTAGATTTCCTGTGTACATTTCCAGCTACCTTCATTTGCCTGCAAAACTAGTACACATGATCTACTTTGATATTTATGACCTTTGAGAGAAGACTGTTTTACATGAAGCAGGAATAAAGTATAAGCCAACATTAAAGAAAATTCTCTGTTATGTTCTCTGTAATCGAAACAAAATTCTCTGTAACTTCAGCATGATTTTGTCTTTAACAGACACAAGGCACTTCACCCGGGCTCTTTATTTTATTGGCATAACTTGTCTTGCAGCCTAATTTAATGACACATTTTCAGACCTGATCCACACTTCCCCTGAGAGGAATAGTCGGAATTATGCCCCAGTATTAACTCATTTTTTGGAAACCAATGAACATTGTAAAATATCGTCCCAGGCAAAGACTTCTGCATTTGTGGTAAAAACCACTGTTGAGTACACTGGATTGATCAATGTCTTTTTTTACATAGCATTTATGTGCAAAAATGTAATGTTCAATGCTTGCAATTTCTTCAGCCCCAGGGTACCCTTGCAATATTTGCTCTTAACTTGCTGACAGGAGGTACCAAACCATCAATACCTTCCTGCACACAGATTTCCCTAACGCAGCAGTGGCTATCTATGGGAAAGACAATGCACACTATTTACTATGTTGGTGCAAAAGTAATTGCGATTTTTGCCATTAAAAGTAATACAAGATTGTCATAATAATATGGTGCAGGTTAATTAAATTGCACCAAATGGAATAATGTTTTACTTACCTAAGTTCTAAAGATATTTGGTGTACTGAGCTCTTCCTGGTCTCTGGAACCGCAGAGAGGTGCCCCTAGACCTGCCTTCTTGCGTGGGGCCTCCTGCATATCTCCTCTGAAAGCCATCGAATAAGTAGATCTGACACCTTTGATGCAGTTTCTGGCATGAAAGAGGGAAGAACTAAGTCTTTCTTCTTTTTCCTCAACTATAACAAGTTCTTTCCCTATCTGGAAAGGGAAGCAATGGAAATAGAGCTCTGATGGAATTATGGAGAGGTGTGTCTTAGGAGGGATGAAAGAAAGTGTGTTTCCTAAGAACCAGAAAAACTGCATTCATGTCGCATTGCATATTTTAAAAATATTTCTTTTTTTCCTTTTTTTTTTTTTTGAGATGAAGTGTCACTCTATTGCCCAGGCTGGAATGCAGTGGCGCCCTTGGCTCACTTCTAACTCTGCCTCTTGGGTTCAAAGTGTTCTCCTTCCTCAGCCTCTTGAGTATCTGGGGTTACAGGTGTGCACCACCACACCCAGCTAATTTTTGTATTTTTGTAGAGACAGGGTTTCACCATGTTGGCCAGGCTGGTCTTGAACTCCTGTCCTCAGGTGATTTGCATGCCTCGACCTCCCAAAGTACTAGGATTACAGGCATAAGCCACTGCGCCTGGCCTTATTTCTGTTTATTGATACAGATTAGGGGTACGTATTTTCAGGGTACATGTGATAATTTAATACATTCATATAATATGTAAAGATCACATCAGGGAAATTCGGATAACCATTACCTTAAATATTTGCTGCTTCTTTACGTTAGAAACATTCAAATGATTCTCTTCTAGCTATTTTGAAGTGTACAGTAGATTATCACTAAGTATAGTCATCCTCCTGATCTATCAAACACCAGGTCTTATTTTTTATATCATTTCTTATATTTGTACCCATTAAGCAACCTCTCTTTATCCCCATTGCATTTTGAGCGCATAGATGCATTTGCTGAAATTTCAGCGCTCACAGGAAATTGATTATTATATAGGTTAGTGTCTCTGTAAATGAAGTTGTTATATAAATTTTGTGTCACAGTGATGTCAGGTGTAGATTGTGTATAGTCTTGTCCAGATACCAGCTCTGACTTTTTCTTTTTCTTGTCTTTTCTTTTCTTTTTTTTTTTTTGAGACGGAGTCTCGCTTTGTCACCCAGGCTGGAGTGCAGTGGCGCGATCTCGGCTCACTGCAAGCTCCGCCTCCCGGGTTCACGCCATTCTCCTGCCTCAGCCTCCGGAGTAGCTGAGACTACAGGCGCCCGCCATCACGCCCGGCTAATTTTTTGTATTTTTAGTAGGAATGGAGTTTCACCGTGTTAGCCAGGATGGTCTCTATCTCCTGACCTCGTAATCTGCCCGCCTCGGCCTCCCAAAGTGCTGGGATTACAGGCGTGAGCCCCCGCGCCCGGCCAGCTCTGACTTTTTCCATTTGAGACTCTTACTGTAAGAGTTGTCCACGGCCAGGCGCGGTGACTCACACCTGTAATCCCAGTACTTTGGAAGGCAGAGGCGAAGGGATCACTTGAGGTGAGGAGTTTGAGACCAGCCTGCCGACATGGTGAAAACCCATCTCTACCAAAAACACAAAAATTAGCCAGGCATGGTGATGTGCACCTGTAACCCCAGCTATTCAGGAGGCTGAGGTAGGAGGATTGCTTGAAACCGTGAGTCAGAGGCTGCAGTGAGCCGATATCACGTCACTGCCCTCCAGCCTGGGATACAGAGCGAGACTTCCTTCTCATAAAGAGAGAAAAAAAAAAAAAAGGAATTGGACGGTTGGACAGTTACTCATCATCTCTATGCCTCTGTTTCATAATCTGTAATATGCAACAACACATACATTGGTTTGTAGGGGAAATTTAATGTAATTTGTGTGTGTGTGCACGAAATAACGAAACGTAGCATAAAACATTGCAAAAGGAAAAAGAAATCTTCATAAGGACGATCAGTCTTAAGCCTCAAGGTGTTAATGTAGTGTCTGTTACTGCATTATCCCCTCTGTGGTGTTTGCAATAAGACAGTATGCTTGTTTCTTTTCCTTACTCCCCAAAGTGAAGGCATTAGAACTAGAAATCAGGGTTTTGTCTGTTTTTGACCAAGTGCTTCTTAGGTGGACAGCAAGTCATTTTGATAGGACCTCTGCTTCTCAGGGACCCTTACCCAAACTGAGATAGAGGAAATCACCTTTTAACATCTTGCATTTACTTGTGAAGTCAGAACAAAGGAAAAAGGATCATCATAAAAATTATATTTTCCATCAGTTTGGTGGTAAATTTGAGGAACTGTCTTAGCAGATAATTAGAGCACCTTTTCATGATGAAAGTATACTTTCTGCATGATTTAGTCTCTGTTTTGTACAGAATTTGATGATTTTGACCAAATCATTGACCTTGTGCTTCATTTTTTTTCTACTGTCCTTGGATCCTTTATTCTTCTGTGAAAATATTTTCCAAGGTAGAATTGTTTAATTTACAGCTCTAGATGAAACAGCACACAAAATTATGAAACATGTACAACAGGTAGAAAGTGAAGTGAGTGATGTTAGAAGGTACACATAGATAGTAAAAATTGTTCATTGTTATGCATTTCTTTTAATGGCAGTGAATAATTAACACATTAGTCCATAATGTTATGTATATTATTGCTTAGGACCATGTTGTAAAAATGCAAGAGTGAATGAAACCAATAATATTAGTTAATAGTACAAGTGGAATGGGGGCATGGTCCAGGGATGCCTGATGTCTGGGAAACCCTGAAATCAAGAGTTGGGCTTGCCTAATTCAACAGCCTACTTGCCTAAATTTCTCAATTTGTGATAATTCCTTTATTTCTCAACACTAGTCACGACCACTGATATTTTTTAGTAAATGGTACCTTTTCTTCAAAGGGATTCTTGGCCTCTTACCCTGTCAAGACATGCTCTTCCTTTGAAACCAGGATATTTTCTTTCATGGAGCGTCATTTCTTACTCCATCTCTTTGAATCTCCTATTTGGCTCACATCCTTCCCTTAAAAGGAACAAGCTTGGTGGTCCATCTAAAGTAATGGACTTAAAAAAATAGATTAGAGTTTCACTCCAAACTCTGCTGTTCACCAACATGGGACCTCAAACAAGGCACTTTTCTCCTCTTTTCTACCAGAGAAATGTTAATATTCTTTGTTTCTTATATCACAGATACACAAACCTAGTAAGTCTGATGGTGAGACACCCTGCATCCTGAGCACAGGTGAAAGTCCATGGTGTCTCTAAAATAGTAGAAACAAGGGTTACCTACAAGACAGTCCTATTGTGAGCCTTAATAAAAATGGCTTGAATGAAATGGCTACCCCCATGTGGTGTTGGGTTCCTTCTTTTTTCCAATGCTTAGTGAAAAATTACATTGTAGGTAAATGTTCAGTGATGCTGAAATTTTCTGGGCTAGATAGCACCTGCCAAACAAAGCTTCCTCTTGGCTGTAGTGAGTTTTGAGCCCCTTGATCACCTTAGTCTAGAGGTAGGTGAAGGGAAGGGAGATAGCCAAGAAGAGGAACGACTACATTATTGTTTGTTGACTGAGAGTTATCTCCCAGGCTATTAACCAGTCCTCTAATCTAGATCTCAGGGGCTTGAGATCATCCTATAGTATCTGCGCTAATGTTTTCTCGCTCCATTAAATGACAGTTCTAAATGACAGGACCTCACATCTTCTCTACAATAAAATAGATTACAAGCATGTTTTTTTTTGCATAGTTTAAAAATAATGATGTAATCTGTATATAATAATTTTATTTCAGATAGTTATGCCTTTTTTCTGCCTAAATTCATAGTGATTTAGGAAAATCAGATTTACGTAGACAAACAATGCACAAATGTCAACCAAATTTCCTTTACATTTTTTCCTACACACACACACACACACACACGTATACACCCATACCTTTGCTCCAGAGTATTGGATTTCTAAATGGTCTGAGCTGGAAGGAACTCCTAAAGACATTTATACCAACCCCTCACTTTCCAGCTGAGGAAGAGTAATGATAGAGTCATCTGTCAAGCACAGTAAAAAAATTAATGATAGAACTGTGTATTAAAAAACATCTTTTTGTGGCTGGGCGCGGTGGCTCACGACTGTAATCTCAGCACTTTGAGAGGCCGAGGTAGGTGTTCACTTGAGGTCAAGAGTTTGAGACCAGCCTGGCCAACATACTGAAACCCTGTCTCTACTAATAATACAAAAATTAGCCGGGCGTGGTGGTGGGCACCTGTAATCCCGGCTAATCGGGAGGCTGAGGCATGAGAATGGCATGAACCCGGGAGGCGGAGCTTGCAATGAGCTGAGATCCGGCCACTGCACACCCCAGCCTGGGTGACAGAGCAAGACTCGGTCTCAAAAAAGGAAAAAAAAAAAGTAGTATTGCAAATTGTATCACTTTAACATTTCAGTTTCTGTCTGTTGCTGGGGTTAGGGCTCAGAACACACCACTCTAAAATATTCCTCTCTAGCATATTGATTATTAACTATTTATTTAGAGAAACTGCCCGCACAGGAGTTAGCTCTGAAATGCTGCCCTTTGTAAAAGAAATTTAGATCTATAAACGAAATTTTCATTGGTAAAGATGTTTTTGATTGGGAAGAGAGCTGCTCCAAGACAATTTCTATCACCTGAGAGACTCTTACCTGCATAACAAAGCAACCTTTATTTACCATGTATTTACTATATATTTCCTCCTCTCACACTCCCATAACTTGCACCACCACCCTCCAGAAGCCCCAGGCCTCTGTTTCTTTCTGTAGCTTAAGATGCTTTGTAAGCTTTATTCATCTGGCCCTTCTTTGAGTCTTATATTTTTGTGGGACTCCTATGTATACACACATACACATAATTTAATACAGTTTTTCTCATGTTAATCTGTCTTATGTCAATTTAACTTGTAGCCCAGCCACAAAAAACCTAAAAGGGTGGAAGGAAGTCATTTTTCCCTCCCCTGCTCTGAAATATAAAAATAAATAAACTATATGCCAATTTTATATCTAGCAGTTTTTAATTGAAATAACTAATTTGCATGTGTAGGGGCAAAGGGGAATTTCCCTTTCCCTTTAAGGTTTGAGTTTGCTGAAATAAACCAACGGTAGATTAACTGGAGGAAAAGGCAAGTTTATTGTATTCATGGGGGAATGACGAGAGAGTGACTACCCAGTAACCCAGTGAGGTTCAGAATCTTATATACCCTTCTTCACAGGAGAGAGAGAGATGGGGGAATGTAGGCAATTTTGAGAAGTAGGAAATTATTTTTAGGAGAGTTGAATGAGCCCAAAGAAGAGACCATAGTTTGTAAATTATACTCTTTGGAAACTCTTTGGAATATGATCAAAGAATAGACAACAGCTTCTGACAAAGTCTGCCTAGGTGTGGTGACATCCCTCAGTCTTACTTTCTGCCATGAGTTTAATCTTCTCCGGTTAAGAAAATCTCAGGGAGGTGATCAAAGACCACTGGGTTCTTTCTGGAGGAGCTTCAGATACGGTAACTTCAGAGAGGAAGAGTTTCATCCTGCACTTGGGGGCAAAACAGGACAAGTTAAGAAAGTCCTTGGTTCTGATGCTGATTCTAACACCCTTTAATTTTCTTTCGTTCAAAGTGCCTGGCATTGGAGGGTGGGTGAGGGGGAAGTTAATGGTTAATGGGTTAAAAAAAATAGAATGAATAGGCTGGCGCAGTGGTTCACACCTGTAATCCTAGCACTTTGGAAGGTTGTGGCGGCAGATCACCTGAGGTCGGGGGATGGAGACCAGCCTGGCCAACATGGTGAAACCTCGTTCCTACTTAAAATACAAAAATTAGCTGGGTGTGGTGGCGCATGCCTGTAATCCCAGCTACTTGGGAGACTGAGGTAGGAGAATCACTTGAACCCAGGAGGCAGAAGTTGTATTGAGCCGAGATCATGCCACTATACTCCAGTTTGGATGACAGAGCAAGACTCGGCCTCAAAAAAAAAAAAAAAAGAATGAATAAAATATAGTTTTGATAGCACAAATATAGGGTGACTATAGTCAATAATAATTTTATTGTACATTTTAAAATAACTAAAAGACTAAAATTGGCTTGTTTGTAACATAAAGAATAAATGTTTGAAGGGATGGATACCCCATTTACCCTGATGTGATTATTAGACATTGGATGCCTGTATCAAAATATCTCATGTACCTCATAAATATATACACCTACTACATACCTACATTTTTTTTTTTTGAGATGAAGTCTCACTCTTGTCACCCAGGCTGGAGTGCAATGATGCAATCTCGGATCACTGCAACCTCTGCATCCCGGGTTCAAGTGATTCTCCTGTCTGAGCCTCCTGAGTAGTGGGATTACTGGCACCTGCCATCGTGCCCAGTTAATTTTTGTATTTTTGGTAGAGATGGGATTTCACCATGTTGACCAGGCTGGTATTGAACTCCTGACTTCAGGCAATCCACTCGCCTCGGCCTCCCAAAGTGCTGGGATTACAGGCAAACTTTTTCAAAAAAAAATTTAAAAACAAACCAGCAACAGAAAAAGGGTAGAGTGCTTAGCATGCCAGAGCACGATACTTTGGGGTATTGTTTCTGAGTCCCGACACATGTGCTTTTAGATTTTTCAGCCTACAATATTATATCTGTAAGGAGTGACAGTTTTGTTCCTTCTTTTCCAATTTAAAAACTCTATGATGGCCAGGCATGGTGGCTCACGCCTATAATCCCAGCACTTTGGGAGGCTGAGAGGGATGGATCACCTGAGGTCAGGAGTTCAAGACCAGCCTGACCAACATGGTGAAACCCCGTCTCTACTTAAAATAGAAAAATTAGCCGGGGCGTGGTGGCTCACGCCTATAGTTCCAGCTATTCGGGAGACTGAGGCACGAGAAGCTCTGGAACCCGGGATGCAGAGGTTGCAGTGAGCTGAAATTGCACCACTACGTTCCAGCCTGGGCAACAGAGGAGACTCCATCTCAAAAAAAAAGTTCACTTCCCTTTTCTTGGCGTCTTGGTCAATTATAAAGCCGATAGAAATTCAAGGATGTTAAAATCTAGGTTTTAGATCTCAACTCAGCTTCTTGCCACGGATTAGTCAGTTTTGCTTAATTATATAAAAGGCTTTTGAGGCTTATCTGCCCAGGAGGCCTATTAAGACAAAGAACTATGAAATCTACTACATTACACCTTGTTGATAGACTGTATATGCCACTCCTCCCACTGCCTTCATTAGCAGGTCCCTAATTTAGCTGATTTTGGAGTTCTGAAAAATATATGTACTAATTTCTTTCCTTGCCTTACTGAAATACAGACTGGAGTTCCAAGCAGCTTCTCCTGTAATAAAAACATATATAATTTCAGCCAGGAGCAGTGGGTCATGTCTGTAATCCCAGCACTTTGGGAGACTGAGGCAGGCGGATGACCTGAGGTCGAGAGTTCGAGACCAGCTTTACCAACATAGAGAAACCCCATCTCTACTGAAAATACAAAATTAGCTGGGTATGGTGGTACATGCCTGTAATCCCAGCTACTTGGGAGGCTGAGGCAGGAGAATCGCTTGAACCCGGGAGACAGAGGTTGCGGTGATCCAAGATCGTACCACTGGACTCCAGGCTGGGCAACAAGAGTGAAACTCTGACTCAAATAAATAAATAAATAAATAATTTTTTAAAATAAATAAATTTGGCAAGGGGTGGTGGCTTATGCCGGTAATCCCAGCATTTTGGGAGGCCAAGGTGGGTGGATCACGAGGTCAGGAGTTCAAGACCAGCCTGGCCAAGATAGTGAAACCCTGTCTTTACTAAAAATACAAAAATTAGCCAGGCATGGTGGCGCATGCCTATAATCCCAGATACTCTGGAAGTTGAGCAGAGAATTGCTTGAATCCAGAGGTGGAGGTTGCAGTGAGCCAAGATCACACCACTGCATTCCAGCTTGAGAGAAAGAGTGAGAGTCTATCTCAAAAAAACAAAACAAAACAAAACAAAACTATGTATACATACACACACATATAATTTCAATGGTGGAGACAAAAACAGATTATGCCGCAATCTTTACCTAACAATGATTAAATTTTTTTGAGCTTGCTAACAACTGCTTTCAAGAAAAATTGCACTTAATTAGATTAACAATTCTCAAATGGAAACTCAATTTGCAATTGAGTTTGCAAAATAAATATTCTCCTTACTTGAACATGTGTATACCAGTATGCACATATACAAAATCACACATGAACGCAAACACACAGTAATGTATACAAAAATACAGAATGTCAGAGCTGAAAGAGATCTTTTGTCCATAATATTCACTTCAGAGATGAGGAGTAGAAGGATAAGGTGATTTGCCAAGCTCCAATAGCAAGCTTATGATAGACACTAAACCCCAAGTTTCTGCTTATTTGCAGTGATGTAGTAGGCACTCTGTGTGATGCTGGTGAATATTTTAGGTGTGAAATAGTAAGCATAAAAGTAGTACTACCTGGCAATCTGTTTAAGACCATTGACAGGCCTGAGAGTTTTCCATACGGCCTGCACCCTGACCTCTGGGAAGAAAACATCCACAATGAAATTTCTACAAGATTAGAAGGAGAGAGGCAACGGGGCTCCATTTTTACTAGGAGTATCCACCTCTGAGAGGGATATATCCATCTCTGTGGATGTCACCTACTCTTCAGAAAACCCTTTCCTGGAACTCCCAGGTATTTAAAAAAACAGTCAGATATCAGACCTATAGACAGAAGGCTCACACCCAGTCACACAGAATCTCTGATCACCAAGAATTAGAACATTTCTGGATGATGGGCTGTATACATGGAAGAGTTGGGAATCTTTATTTTGAGGCAGAGAAATATGTGGGGGGAAACATAAAATCTACTCCCTTTGAATTGAAATGCTCAGATATTTAAAAACAATGTTAAAACATCCATTTGTATTCAAGGAAGTGAAAATATTTTCTAAGATGCAGGTCATATGGATCTGTCAATTCCCTTCTGAGTTAAGTCATTCCAAAAAGGCGTTGTCAGTGGTATCTGCCTCACCTCACAGGCTATGGGTGAGCAGCAGGTGGACTGATAGATGCAAACACTTCAGAGATGAAAGTTTTTAGTTTAACTGGTCTGCTTAGGTAAGGAGCAAGAATCACTTTGGGGTTTGGAAATAACCTTGTAAGTATGACAATCCTATAAAGGGTTGAGAGGGCGGTAGCCTTCTCCATTGTTGACAAGGAGGTGGAAGAAGGATGTGAGAACACTTGTTGCCATGAGTACACGAAGAATAAGTGTAGATAAAGGCAGGAAGGGAGAACTGCAAACATTAAGTGTTGGGCCAAGACTTCTTAGGAACAGGACAAGGGACCATAGGTTGCTCTTTTGACTCTGCTCTTCTTTGAAATGCTTTCATAGGAAACGTGAATCTGATGTGGACCCTCCTCATTTTCCTCCTTTTGGACCTAACCGTCTTCACTCCAGCCTTCCCCTTCTTAACACGACATATAGACAACTCCAGGTCTTGGGTCCCTAGAGGACACCACTGACACTGTGATGTGACGATGAGGTGCCATTGGCTGATCCATAGAGGTAAATGCAAGCAGATCCACACATTCATTCATGAGAATCTGACAGCCATAGCAGATTTCTGCAGAACTCCACCAGTGCCCTGTACCAACAGCCCCTCCATGTGCAGCTACCACAACAGGACTCATGACGTCAATGACACTGACTGTTTTGCCAGCACAGGGACCCGACCTCTTCACTGCCACTACCAAAAATAAGAAGGAGTCCACCAGGCCCATGCGAGTGGGCTGTAAGAAGGGGGCACCTGTTCACCTGGATGGCTAGGTTCCTCCTGACACTGGCACTTGAGTGACTTGCACCCTATGCCTTCAAATCTTTGCAACACTGTCTATGTCTTCTTTGTAAATGCTTCGTCCCTTGCACGCAGACTCCTCATTGTTCCCAGACTCATGCAGCCTCCTGCGTCTTTCTTACAGCCTGTTCCCCACCAACCCCACGTCCCCTATCCCTGCCACAGTGTCAGGGCTTTTGGTGGAGGATAAGGTGGCAGTGGAGGGTCGGTGGGAGGCAGCCTGAATTACGGAAATAATACTCTGGAAAAGCCTTGCTCCAACCAAGCTGCTAGACAATCCCCTTCTCCTGGGGCTGATCTTCCTACCAGCTGCTCTCATAAAACTTCCTGATGCTGGCCCTAGGTTTCCTGGATCATAGGGTCCTTCTGCCTTCTGTGAGACATTCTATGCCATTCTCCGCAATGGGCTCCTTCGGAGGGTATTAGGGATGATACCCAGGTGGAAAGCCGCTTCCTTTAGGGAAACCAATCGCTGTGGTTCCCGGGGTGTCACCGGAAAAAACCCTTTCTGGAGAAGTCGGAGGAGCCTGGGCAACTCAGCCGGCCCAGAGCCTTCGTGGTCTCCCCGTTCCGGTGGCCTCCGTATTGGCCGGCAGGGGGCGCCGAGCCACATGCTTCCCGCAGGCCAAGAGTCCAAAACTTCTTTCTTGGTTTCCTTTAAGACAGAGTGAGATGGGCAGC